TAGAACAAACAATAAGAACTCTCAGATCACGTGTGTTGTTGCTATACTGAGGGTACCCCCGAGTGTTGTTCTATTACTGCAACTTCCGCATGACTTCCATCTTCTGTCTCTTCTACTATATGAGTCTTTATAACAGTTACACATAGTAGAGAAAATCCCTGCCTTCTCAGTACGGTAAAATATCTAATTCCAGCTGTTTGAAAGTGAAACATTCGATAATATGTCTTTCATGTCCCAATGGATGAGATATTTTAGAGTCAAGGATCTAGGCCCAAGGTACCCTCGCTGGGTCAAAGTTTTTTTAGCCCTGTCTTCAATCCCAGTGATAATTTTGGCTATTGTTTCGATTGTATTGCTTATTCTGAAGTCAAGGTCTTCAACGATAACGTCGTATTCGTTGGTCGCTTTGGCATTGGTACTCCTTATTGCACTTCTTCAAAGGATTGATCTTGTACGGACGTGTCTGGTGAGTACCGAGTATATAAAATATTGTATTTCGCGTGATTGGCAGACTTACACCGGTTGGGGCACAAAACAAAAAGCGTTGTGTATCGCTGGCGACCTAGGATTTATTTAGTGCTGCCTTACGAGCATTAAAAAAACCCGTTATAGTTGACAGATTGGGATTGATAGAAACGTTGCTACAAGTCGCATGAAAGTCCATACAAGTGCAATGTCATAAAATTCAATATGAAAATAATTGCTGTCTGCGTAGTCTCCTCTCGCAGCCGTTAGGAGTGACCTGGGAACGAACGTCCTAACAGCTGCGAGAGGAGACTTGTACTGTCTGCGGTCTTGTGGGCGATCTATTAAACTTTTGAGGGGGGTGGGAGGAGGGCTGGAAGATCTAGTTGCGGGGGGGGGGGGGGGGGGGGGGGGTTAAGATCTAGCTAGCTTGCGTAGGGGCTCTTGGAGGCCTTTTTTCCTCTCAAAAAATTAGCTTTTAAAATTGCTAAATTGCTTATATCTTGGCAAAAAAAATCAGCGATTCGGCGAGAATGTTTTCAAAGATTCATAGTTTTACTCGCTCTTTCACGTGGATTACTTGAATTTTGTTTGAGAAATGAACTAATTGATTCAGACCATGTTTTCACTGTAAAAGTTTTTTGTCTCCGTCCGTTTCCTATTTATTTATTGCTCGGGTCCCGAAGGGCAAAGAGATTAGGATTACAAACGGCCTTTCCGAAGTTTTTCTTCCTTTGGTGCAAACTTGTAAACATTTTTCCAACACTCTTTGACTACTTTGGACTTTGCAGGGAATATTTAAAATCACTCATTCCCTGAATTTGCAATCCTTTATGTAGTTTAACTATTTCTAGCTTGCTAATTATAATTAATAGCAGGCTAAACAATTTCTGGCATTGTCGTTTGAATCTGTGGTATTTTGCTTGTTCTAGTATAAGCATGACTAGGAACTAGCTCAAAAGGAGTCTGTAAAAAGAATCTATCCCAACCTAATTTTCATAATATTGTTTCTTTGCAAATTATCTTTCAGACAAGACTATTTCCAGGTACATTTGGTTACAGGAAAGGGATTTGTGCGGTTGTAATCAGTTCCAAGCCCCTCAGAGACATTCTCCTTTCTATTGATAAGAACCTGCCTTTACTTCTGAAAACGAATACCAAGAAATACAAGAAGAGTATAATAATTTTTTAAATGATGTCAAAGTTGAACTAGAGGAGAGAATTACCAGTTTTACATTCTCTTCGTTATTTGTTGGAAGTGCAGCAGAAAGATTTGGTATTCCATTTAAGCATAAAATAATTTCACGAAAAGTGGATGCTTTAGAGCAGAGTCACTTGAACCATGAAATAGAAWCTAAATABTYAGTWMCTAATAGRCACTATTTAGACACTATCACTGAACCAGAACAGTACAAAGAGATTACTTTGATTGTTAAAGTGGTCCCTTGGGTATTGCTTATTGGATCAAATAAACTGTTATGGTTTAGTGCTAACGACTATTAGGAACTAATAGTCCCTATTAGTTAGTACTTTTTAGTTYTTATTTCATGGTTC